TGAAAAGTTAGGTGGAGTGGGTAAAATTGTGGAGATAAATGAGTCCAAATTAGGCAATCGTAAATATAATAGTGGAAATCGCGTACAAGGTGATTGGGTGTTTGGTGGGATTGAAAGGGAATCCAACAAATACTTTTTCAAGGTTGTTAAGAACAACGGAAAAGATGTCCTCCTGGCAATAATTAAGGAATTCGTGCAGCCAGGGACTACAGTCATATCTGAGTGTTGGAAGTCTTATGACTGTTTAGAGGATGAAGGGTTCCACTACCTGACAGTTAACCATTCAATTAAGTTTAAACACACTGAAGTGGGTACGCACACCAACACCATGGACGATACTTGGAGGGCAATTAAAAGATCCCTGCCCACGGCCACGAGAATCAGTCCTGAGGAGGAGCAGTTTGATTCATATTTATATGAATATATGTGGCGTCGCTCCTGTAGCAAGAAAGGTCTAATGAAAGACTTTTTGAATGTAATTAAAATTGTTTATCATCCCCTTACTAGAGATTCTGTTTCATAAAACATAAAAGTAAGTTAAACCTTACAGTACCGACCTACTTTTTTGCTATATGTAGCCTCAGTACCAGCTATTATTTTGCCAATTATTCTCTGTGGCCCAGACATTATTTTGGAATGAGCCAAAATTTGATTTCCATTTGAGTAAGTTTCCGCCACCATTTTAAACTTCTTCCATAAATTTCATAGTATTGCGATATTTGTTCCAGTAAATCAACACCGCCCATTTTGCTGTAGTTATCAATTAGGCTACGGCTATTGGTACTTAACTACAAATAGCTTCTAGAGAGCTTGATTGATCCTAACGTGATGTCAGTAATCTATGCGTACAATGTGTACTACGTGTCGGTGTTTTGATCATAATATCCTACATTGCCTTCATTGTGCCCCTATTACTATTACCGCTCTATTGCTGTTATTTTTTAATTCTATTAACATTTTGCAATGGATGTAACCTGTTGTATTAAAGGGTGCAGTAACAAAATGCAAAAGGATAGTGGAATTTCCTTCCATTAAATACCTAGGCGTCCTTGGAAGAGTTTTCTCGTCCGGCGACCTGGCATATAGTGTGGGTATGTCATGTGTCGCCGGACAACTAGTAGGTGTTATATTATTCCAGCAGGTCATGTGACAAGTGGTTGCTGGCAAAATAGTTACGTTGCATTGCATTTGATATTCCAATATTGTGTACACATATTCAGCCGATCCGTAGATAATAAATAAATACTGAACATGTTAATATGTAAAGTGTTTGACTTTGAATATTAAACTAGTCGGCCTATATACTAATATTACTAATTTGTAGTACTATTACTAAGTTACTAACCTTAGTAATAGTAATACTAAGTAACTAGTCTATTTGATTCCGAGTCTTCAAAGAAAAAAGACCCTTCAGTCCATGGGCGCCCGTAGAAAACTTTCTGGGGGGTGGGGGGGGGGGCAAAAAAAATCGATTAACTTTCTAGGGGTGGCAAAAAAATTTTAGTAATGTTTTAATGTTGTTTTAATTTACTGTAGCGTATTTGTATGGTGAACGAACGGACAGGACATCAGCTTAGTTACTTTCTCTTTATTTTCTATTTACTTTAATACATTTTTTGTCTAAAAAAATGTTTATCCAATCAATCCAGGAGGGGGGCAAGTGCCCCCCTTGCCGTGCCCCCCCCCCTTTGCGGGCACCCATGCTTCAGTCCCTTCTCTTGGTTTAACATCTTGTGAAACTCTACCTTGAAGTCTAAATTTAAAATATGAACCAAATAAATTAAAACCAGTAGACTTCAATAGACCTATGTCAATAAAGTTGTATTTCAGGATTAGTATTGCCATTGCAAGAGAAGTAGGCTAGGCTACCACTATAATTCACTATATGGGCCTTATATTAAGATGTAGTGAACTTCTTAGTGAACTTAATTATTTATCATTCTCTCTCACTCTAAGCATCTAGGATGCATTACAGCACATTATCTATGTCTATCGATTGCATAGAGGTACTCAACAGTTGTAATTTTAGAGAGTCCTCAAAATTGTAACAGCTTGGACAATAGATGCTTAAATTGTACACCCGTTGCCTCACTCACTAATTCAGCAATTTGCTGAGCTATGATGAAAGCTTTCCTGTACTTGGGTTGCTGTGACAATGGCTGTCTTCGGTCACGCTGAGCCGGTAGCACAACAGAACTTAAATCCCCAAGCTCAGCAGGCTCTCTCCAATTCTGGTTCTGCATGAAATAGCTCATCTTCCATCGATTCAAAATGAGAGCCTCTTCAAATAACTTGACTCCAAGGTTCATTCTATAGCGGAAGATATGCTTGCAGGGAAGACCCATTGACGAGGGAAAACCGCAGCTGCAGGCATTACTGGAGGTTTCATGGGGAATTGAGGTACATTTTTCAGCATCTGCCAGTTGGCTACTTATATGTTTCATGGCAAATGGTGTAACGATAGCTGAATAGTCCTACTGGTCACTGGACATCAAATGAGCTGATGATTTTTGTACTATGCGCATAGCTCGATGTTTGCGCTCAGACTCAAGAACTCTAAGAATTACCATCTAGTCCGTGAAGAATGTTACCATTCTTGAATGCTTAGATTTTACACTCTTTAATTTTTGGTTAATGCATTCAACACGGTTTGTGGTACTGTTTAAAGAGATTTAAGCTTTGTCGCTTTAAACCTTCCACCCACTGCATCCTTATGTCGTGCCAACCAAGTGCCCCGAGACTTTTGTAATGCTTGTTTGCAGAGTAAACAAGCTTTTTCAGCAATTCCAAAACAAGTCTCTGCTCTGTCTTGATCCCCAATTTTTCTGACATTACCTCTCTGCGAAAGGTCCGCAGTGTGTGAAAAAGAAAAATTTGGAGTGAGGCGTTTGAAATTTTTTCACTCATGACATCTCTCTCCATCATATCCTTGTCAGCCATTACCACCTGAACACGACTTATCTCGTTGTCTTGTAAAGGTGTCTGCCAATGCACCACTGGTCTCCCTCTCCTCATTGGCCACAATCCAAAGTGCAACCACCACACTTTCCCCATTCCGATCCACACACATTAATACATAGAGAGGCATTCTCAAGTTGTTCAACTTGTAGGTTGCATCCAGGAGGAGAACCTCAGGATAGCATGAAAATACTTTCACCATCTCTCTTTGTTGGTAATATAGTGCCTGAAGTTGGTTATCTTCACCAACAGCCTCCGTTATTGAACCCTCCTCCTTCCTCATCTTGTTCAACAGGGTAATCGGGCTGTTCCCGTGATTGAGGCAAGATTGATTCGCAAGTTGAATATCTTTCATCGTTATAATTTTGCCTGTTGACTCGATCATGTGTTGCTGAATCATTTTTTTGTTTGCCCTTACCGTTAGCATCTGGGCAACAACATCCTTTTCCTCTTCATCCAGTGGTCGCTGATGTGGTAGGTGCATCAATGATTCCTGCAACAAAACATTTTATTTCTCATGTTACCGGTATAACAATATTTGTTGAGATCAGGCAAAGTAATTGCCTATTTATGATAAAAACAGTCAATGAATTCCTACATTATTTTGTTAAAATTACAGTACTTACCTTTGTAAAAAATTTTGTTAAAATTACAGTACTTACCTTTGTAACACAATGAGAGTGATCCTCATTCAAATGAACAATGAAGTTTCTGCCCATCCTCACTAAGTCGAAACTTGATACTGGCTTTGCAGTCCATCCTGAATGTACTGATAAATCAAATGAACAGTTTTATGCCCCAATCTAAACAACTTTGTACTTAACCATTCTACATGTAAATTAAAAACTTTGTTAAATTTTAAAAATTACTATACCTTTGCTTCACTCTGCTGATGAGTCTGCTGACAGCAGTTGATTTAAACTATATTTAACCCTGCTCTGGTACCATGAAAAAAGTCACACATTTGGTACCACGGGGTCAGTTTGACCCCATGGAGAAAAACATGATATATGAGAATAACAGCACTTCATTAGAATATTGTTTTCCTTGACATACTAAGGTATGACAATGTATTATAAGATCCAAATACATATTTCAATATAATATTGTGTTATAAAATCCAAATAAATATTTCACAATATTTCATGTGCAAAGTGTTCAGCTGGCATTGATTGCACAATTCCGTGTATGCTCTTCGCACACAAACTTATTGCACTCGTGACAGACTAGTTTGGTTTTCTTGTCACGTGATCTGGGACAAATATAACATCTCATTGTGTTGTCCTGACTGAGGCTGTGCGTTGCTTCTGGATGGTGCTCGTGGTACAATGCCGCAACTGCCAATGACCTGCTTGACATCTTTCGGCGTCTGGTGCACTTCCAATCGTTGATGTGCATGTGGAGTAATCAAAGCAAGGGCCAGTTCCTTCAAGAACTTGTGTCGTTTGTCTTTTTTACGTTCTCCATAGTTGGGTACATTTTCAATGAAAATATCAACGAAATTCAGTTTCAAAATATAGGTTCTCAAACCGAAAATGATATATCAACAATTATTGCTAGCCAAGATAAAGATATATATTCTCTCAGGGGAGAAATTAATTCTTTGAAAGAAAAATTGAATTTATCTTCATTTAGTGAGGCCTTTTTTAAAGAAAATGAAGAGAAGGTGAGATATTACACTGGGCCACTGGGCTTCCCAACTACAATTTTTTATAGCCTTGTTCAATTATCTCTCACCTAAAATTCCAAGTGGTTCAAGACACACACTCTCCAGTTTTCAACATCTCATATTAACCCTCATGAGAGTGCGCTTAAATATGCCACTACATGCTGTTGGAGATATTTGGAATTTCAGATTCAGCTGCTTCGAGAATATTTTAAAAAATATTAGACATATGATAATGTTCGTATGCATGTCACCACTTGCAAACTGGCCTGATAGAGAGTGCTTACAAAAAACCATGGCAAGGGTTTTTATTCAGGCCTTTGGTAATTAAGTAGCAGCAATTATTGACTGCTTTCAAATTTTCATAGAAAAACCAAGCCTCCTCGCACGTGCTCAGAATTTTTCCAGCTTTAAACATGATCACACCATCAAACACCTTATAGGTATAACACCACAAGGCTATATTTCTTTTATTTCTAAAGGATTGGGAGGTAGAACCAGTGACAAATATGTGACTGAAAATTCTAAATTTTTAGATAATCTTTTGCCAGGGGATATCATTTTGGCAGACCGGGGATTTGATATCCAAGAGAGTGTTGGACAGTCCCACATTTTTTTTCAAAACTAAATTCCTGACTTTTTCCCAACTGAAAAAAGAAAATTCCTGACTAAATAAAATGCTGCTTTATCGACATTATTGCGATCGATTTTCCAGCTTTTTCTTTAAAAATTTACATACACAATCCTGGTACATGTTTTAAATATAAAGGTTTCCTAACAACTTCATCTTATCCTCAATCTCAACATTTATATTAGTCAGCTGTTGCCTCTTTTCTTTTGCCTTGACTCTGATAGCATTAGCTTTTGAAAGATGAGGAAAACTTTGCAAACTCTCTGCTTTCTCTGACATTTTGTCTGCATCTTGGATCAAAAATTCAATCTCCTTTTCCAGCTTCTGTTTTTTTAACTTCAGTCCATCTATGTCATTCTCTGCCAACTTTCTCTTTGAACATTTTTGCCTCCTCTCTTCCTCTGTTCTTTTCCTATCTAAATAATCCCCATAAATCTTTCTACCTTGTTGAGTGGCAGTCTGGAGTTCTTGTGTCACAACAATGTTAGCAAGGCCTCCCACATGTTCTAGATGGTCTTTTATGATTCGTTTGCTTATTAAAACCTTCTGAGAAATGTTTGTTTGTGTGGTTTCCCTGTTCACTGAAAAACCACGCTCAACAGTTGCCTGTCCATGTGACAGAAGCAATAAAACATTGATAATCCGCCACAGCTTGGTAAACTTTTCTTTACCAATTCCCAACTGAAAAAAGAAAATTCCTGACTAAATAAAATGCTGCTTTATCGACATTATTGCGATCGATTTTCCAGCTTTTTCTTTAAAAATTTACATACACAATCCTGGTACATGTTTTAAATATAATGCTATCTTAAATAAAATAAACTTTACAAAACAATATAATAAAATAACACTTTAACTAACCATTGACTTTCCAATGCCTGGACTTGGTAATATACAGGAATACATCCATAATATTAATATAAAAAATATATACCGTAGTCAATTTATATAATTCAATGCATGTATACTGTAATAATTATTTTAACATCTATTGATATGTACATGCTAAAATGAAATTACATTATTTCAAATAATAAATGATGAACAATATGTTAACAATGTTATATGGAGAATGATAAATTGAAATTAAGTAAAGGATGTTACTAAATGTTATTAAAGGTTTCCTAACAACTTCATCTTATCCTCAATCTCAACATTTATATTAGTCAGCTGTTGCCTCTTTTCTTTTGCCTTGACTCTGATAGCATTAGCTTTTGAAAGATGAGGAAAACTTTGCAAACTCTCAGCTTTCTCTGAAGTTTTGTCTGCATCTTGGATCAAAAATTCAATCTCCTTTTCCAGCTTCTGTTTTTTTAACTTCAGTCCATCTATGTCATTCTCTGCCAACTTTCTCTTTGAACATTTTTGCCTCCTCTCTTCCTCTGTTCTTTTCCTATCTAAATAATCCCCATAAATCTTTCTACCTTGTTGAGCGGCAGTCTGGAGTTCTTGTGTCACAACAATGTTAGCAAGGCCTCCCACATGTTCTAGATGGTCTTTTATGATTCGTTTGCTTATTAAAACCTTCTGAGAAATTTTTGTTTGTGTGGTTTCCCTGTTCACTGAAAAACCACGCTCAACAGTTGCCTGTCCATGTGACAGAAGCAATAAAACATTGATAATCCGCCACAGCTTGGTAAACTTTTCTTTACCATTTAACAATAAATAATAAAGACAATCCAGTCTTCCTTCAGCTTTACTGAAGGCTGCTATTTCCTGGGAATGCCTGTAACATTCCAAGAAGTCTCTAAATATAGAAAGTATTTCATCCCATTCATTGATTTGTGCTCTATTAAGAGACACTAAAATGTTAAGGACATGTCTAAAACTAGACAGGTTAGAATCAATTTCTTTGTTGATCATTTCTTCTGGGTCCAGACAACTCATGTGTCTCACTAAATTATATTTCAGTGGAGACTTTGCTGTTAGTTTTGCTATTAGAGTGGATAGGATCTCTCTGCACTGTAATTTAAATTCTAAAATTCCTTTGTCGCTAATTAATTTCTTCACTTTGGCTTCCTTGAGAAGCCCCTCTGCCACAAAACCAATGTCAATTTCAGAATAAACTTTCAATACTTTTTCCGATTTGCTCTCAACTTTTAGTAATTTATCAATAGTATTGGCTTCCTCAAGTGTTTTTTGTTTTATGAAACGAGACATAAGACCTCTCAAAAGTTTCTCTAAATCCTTTGCCATGAAAGGCAACATTGGCTGGTCACCTTGATACATTGTCAAAAACAGCTCTATAGGTCTTGCAAGGCTTATTATGAAAGCAAGTCTTGTCCTTGAAAGAGGGTTACTTATCCACTCTTTAACTATTTCATACGACTTGGTCAATGGATTTTTCAGTTCCCGTTTTTCAACTTTTGCGATATATTGAGACATAGACGGAAAAATATCCAAAGCCCGCTGGCATGCTGCTGCATTCTCGACCCAACGATGGGAGCAGAAGCTCAGAGAATACATGGACTGTCCTGTTGTTTTTTCGTAATCTTCTCTGCGAGCTGGAGTGTCCTTAAAAAGGGTGTGCAGCGCTGACAAAATCTGGGATACTCCCCAGTGAGTAGCATCAATAGCTGCCTTGAAACTATTGTGTAGTGTATGAAGTCCACAAGAGCCAATGTCAATTAGCTGATGCTGGAAATTCATACTTATTTTTTCTTGCATTTTTTTAAACATGGCCCAATTAACATTAGGTCCATCCATAGACAATTGAACAATATTATTGAGTCCGATGCTGTTGACAACTTTCTCTTCGAAAGAGTCCAACACATCAGAGGCACAAGAGTGGCCAATGAAATCTGATGTGTAATAGCGAGTCTTGACTTTATCGTAATCCCACATCCTGATGTGAATGTCAAGTTGTTTCTTTTTAAGGTCCTTGTTTAAGGATTCGTCAAACAGGAGGACATATGGAGAATCCTTTGTTGTTCTTTCCAGCAAGGAAGTCAAATAAGGAGCAATACCAAAACATGACATGTACATTATTTTGGTTTCCCCTAAGCTCATTGATTGCGCTATTTCACAATTTGGAAACATCCGTTGGAATAGTGGCACAATGTCTGCTTGTGATGAAAATGAATAGTTTGAATCAACACATTTTAACGCCCATAAAATTTCTGCATTTAATGTATCCTTTTTTGAAATAAAATTGGACAATGTTGACTGTGACTTTGGAGTAGATACTTCAGCAAAGTGTGTGGCTGAATTTGATGGGATGTCAACAGCTGGTTTATTTTTAGTGAACACTGTTATTGGAGACGATTGGCTAAATTTAAGCTTATCTTCATGTTTTTTCCCTTTCATGTGGGAGATGAGTGCTGTCCTGCCCATTGATCCGATATCAATAGATCTAGAACAAATCCTACAGTATGCATTGTGCACCAACTTGTCCCGGGAAAGCCATGGTTTGAATTCAAGTTGTTCCAACCACTTATCTTGGAAAGTACAGTTAGGCATAATTATCTGAAACAATAGATTTTACAAGTTATTTTAACATTATAAACTATTAATTAATGTTATTACAATCATGGTCACAGATTATTAAAAATACTATACTAAGCTCAAATAAAAAATGTATTTACTGTAGGGTACTTCTTAAATTAAATAAGGAGTAGATTGGTGTACTATTTTTATTTAAGTAAAAACCAAAGGCAAAGGGATACAAATTACAATTACAGTAATTACAGATGACTTAATATACCTGCCTAATCCAATACAATATTAATTAAGCCCTAATAATACTAATAATAATAGTACTGGACTTCTGAAATACTGTAATAAATTTATATACCAGATTAAATTAATTAAGAACCAGATCTTCCGATAACAAATATTCATTTCAGAAGTTTAATATTCCCTAATATCTCCTAAGCCTAATTAATATTAATACTATTATTATCATTATCAAATTCAAATACTGTAATACTACTTTAACTAGTGACTACTATGACTCTTATATTAAAAACCAGATCTGCCGATAAAAACTATATAAATAATTGACATAAATGAATACTCACCACAAAACTGTTCCAGTGACTCCAAAAATTCAAAGTTTGAAAGTTATTGATTAGTAAGAGCCGAGCACAGAGTATTAGAGAGATCAAATGATTGAGAATCAAGTGGCGCAAAGTCGTTTTTCTCTCACAATTGAAATGGGGTCGGCATCGGAAGAACGATTTCAACGCATGCGCAGAAAAGTCAAAACTAATACTACAGTAAAATGCAGTCGATAAATGATAATGGAGTCGTAATTGAAACGATTCGAGTATTATTATTTTTTTTAAATTATGAAATAAAAATTCCCGACTATCCTGAAAAATTCCTTACTAGAATGCTCAAATTCCCGGTTTTCACGACCGGGAAATTTATTTGATAAATTCCCGACTATTTCCCGTTTTCCCGACTGTGGGGACCCTGGACTAATGTGGGCAGAGGTTAATATCCCTGCGTTTACAAAATGCTTATCGGCTTATGATGTGGAAGCTACCAGGAGGATAGCCCACCTCAGGATACACGTTGAAAGAGTCGTAGGAAATCTGATTAAAATATATGCTATCAATAATGCAATTATACAAATTCCCATGCTGGCTATAGCTGCTGAAGCTGAAAGTGATAATCACACCACTTTAGACAATATAGTCATTGTATGTTGTGCTTTGGTCAATTTATGCCAATTGGTTGTTCCCTTTGAATAAATGTGTGATTTAAGCTATTTTTGCCTGGGATAAAAATACTGGAAATATATGTTTTAAAGTTGTATGGTTGTGCCCAAACAGTAAATTTTGTAAAGTTACTTTTTAAGTTGCAACTTGTTTGTTGAACAATGCTTTTACTTTGACTGTTTTTTGTTATTAACCTGAAATTTTGTAAACAAGTTACCCTCTATAGGCCTTATTCCTTAACTATTATGCTTTAGGAATATCATTTAAAAGAAAGAATTGTATAAG